CTAAATTTTGTAATAACAAAATTTTTTTTTTCGAATTTTGTTTTTTTAAAATGTTCTACTGATTCAAGCGATGCGGGGGGGGTTGAGTATATATAGGAGAATTTAGCAGCGATTTAACAACGATTTTGCATCGAATATTTAGCATCGAATTAGCGTCGAATACTTTAGTGTCGATTTCGCATCGAATTAGCGTCAAATTAGCACCCAAGTAGGTAAACTCGTTTTTAATGTGTCTCCTACCTACCAATTTGAGGCAAATTCGACGCTATATTCGACGCTACGTGATCGACGCTAAATCGATGCAACATTAGCATCGATTTAGCGTCAAATTCTGGAATTCCGACGCTAAATCGATGCTAATTTGCGTCGATTTAGCGTCGAATTTTTTCGACCCTAATTAGCGTCGAATTAGCGTTGCATATGTAGACTGACACAACTTCGACGCAATTTCGACGCTATATTAGCGTCGAAAATATGCCGACGCTAAATTTCGACGCTAAATTACAGTTTTCTTGTAGTGATTTATCAATACCGCCAAATAAAACATGTGGGATAGAGGAGCGATCAATGCTTTGTGTGATATTTTTTAAAGTGTAATGTGTTTCTTTTGTGGAAGATAGTGTACTCGTAACGTTTTCTTTTACACAAAAAAGCTTAACAGGTATACCCGTAGTTTGCGGCTTTAGGTATAATATGCTGCTTTAGGTATAAAATATCAGAAGCAAAATTACATTGTGTTGTTAGTATGGAGATTGTGATCATGGTCTGTAAGACGATGGTATAGATATGTCGGAGCCGTCTATATTACGGTATGATACATAATTGAAGTCTATATTCAATTGAAATTTTACCTCAACGATAATTTGGTTACGAAATACTTATTACTTTATATTAGTGTAACGAATATATATAGAGATATGAGTATGATATAATATCTTAATACTGTACATATAATTGCAACAAAGTTTGAATTACTGAACTTAAACAAGTACTTATTACTTTATGAACCAAGTTCTTAAATAGAATGAATGGAATAAATACAAAAAAAAATGTACTTAAATTAGATCTCCTTCAACTAATTCTTTGAAGTCTTAACCCAAGAAATCAATATGAGTCAAACTTAGGAGTTGTCGTTTGAAAAATCTGAAACGCCGAAGTTACCAAAAAGGTCAAAGCAAACAAGATCTGTCAGACATTTAGTTTAGATCAAACGAAGGGGTGAATAGTAAACTACACTAACCATCACCCACTGGCTATTAAAGGCCATTATCTTTCTGTTTTGTTATGTTCAAGTCAAAAACTTATATTTGTAAGTTTCTGACATTAGTCAGTGGGAATAGAAACTGTGAAGAGGAATGGAATAGAAGAAACTCGGATTCTGAGAATCATTTTTTTTTTTKTGTAGTTTTAATCTTAATTAGAAACCTGAAGACAATTGATTTAGGACGACTGAATTTAATTTCGAATCTTTTTGTAGTGGCAGCTGGCCTCGATCGGCCCTTGTTTCCTTTATTAATGAAAGACTTCAAACCAACGCGACAATATTAAAGCTGTTCTTCATTGGTCTTTAATTAATTTCTCGTCTTCATTCATATTTCCTTGCATCGATCACACTTATATTTATGAGGGTGGGTCTAATGAACAAAAGGAAAAATTTTGTCGTAAGCCCATGCATTATTATTAAATAAATTTGGTAGCTCCAACTTTTTATATTTTATGTGGTATATTGGTAAAATATATTTTCCATTATTTTTCTTTTCAATCTAAACTCTTTG